AGTATCAGATGTAAGTATTTTGGGCTATGACTCAATAAGCTTTCCACATCAAAAGAATTATCAGATTCTTTCTCTTCCTAAATGTAAACTTAAACTGAGTCTAGTGGATATTTACAACTGGATTTAGGTCTATTCTTTGGGCTATTTGTAGATGTGAGTGTTTCTGTGTTCATAGTTCTAATGAAAAGTCCTTTGTGGCCTTTATTTTTTTTGATTCACTCTGGATTACTGTGAGTTTATCTCAATACGTTTTACCAAAAAAGGAAAAAACAGCAACTCATGATTCTCCCTCCACCTTGTTTTCACATGGTGTTATTGGAGTGATATGCAATGTGGTGCTGTCATGATTTTCTTAAGGGATCTGACCCACATGCAGTAAACCACTCAGCGAGACAAGGGTAAAAGTTTGACAGGTTTATTGAGGAGATGAACGGGGTTGGATTCAGGAATCTCAGTGTACTGGTGAACCGAAACTGGAAGTGGGAAGGGAAGTATCAGAGGTTAGTTCAGGGTCCGTGGGAACTTTGAACGATGACTTTGGAGAAACAGAGAAAACGGAACTCACGTTAGAGGAGAAAACCTTCTTCCCAGAATCCAGTCTTGTGTGGGTTTACCAGAGGGAGGAACTCGTTGGAGCCACCCTCCAACGAGTTCCTCCCTCTGGTAAACCCACACAAGACTGGATTCTGGGAAGAAGGTTTTCTCCACTAAAAGGTTTTAATTTGGTTGGTTCCTGAGGCACTATGGAGCGGACTGTCACTTGGAATCCAGGAAGTCTTGAACGGAACTTGTTGAGGTTAATCCCCTGCTCAGTGTGAGACTCAAACAATCCTTCCAGGGGAAGAAGGTCAAAAACATCCAGCCTGCAGGATGGCTTCCTGCCAAAAGGCAAAGACAAAAACAAAGTTAGAACTCAGAGAAACAAAGACTCAGTTAGACTCCGCTAATCTCAGCTTGGCTAGAGTACCCAAAACTGGCAAACACTCTGGCATCGAGATAGTGACAGTCCACCACTTAAGTAGTCCTCAGTGATGAACCAACCAGGACCAACGAGAAGAGGGCACCACCTGGTGGTGGAGGAAGAGAAAGACACACAAAAAAAACACAACCACACAAACTGGATTCCTAACAGGTGCTATCTGCTCTGATAACACCAGGTGTCCTTCCATGAGTTTGCAATGGTCCAATTCATGGTTTATGGTTTCTTTAACAAAAATTATAAATTTCCTGTTCTACAAAAAGACCAGATTATTTAGAGTGCAAGAAAAAGGTCAAAAATGTTCCCGGTATGAATACTTTTGGAAATTACTGCATTTATTGGTTTTGTTTTGTCGCAAACATAACTTATACCATGATAATGTTTATTTTATATTTTATAAAAAATCTACTTGTTTGCCATTAACAAGCAGAAAGAAAAAGCCAAAGTGCAGGCTGAAAAAGATGCAGAGCGTGAGCGGCAAGGCAGGGAACTTCAGACACAACAGGAAGAGGAGGAGAGGCAACTCAGGAAAAAGGTTTGCTTTAATGGAATTATGTTCAGAAAGGAGATAAACCAATCCCAGGTTCCTGATTAAAGCTTCCAATGTAAATGTAAGTAGTTGGTAAGTAAATATCCTTTACATTTTTTTTTTTGCAGAGAATTGAGGAGATCATGAAGAGAACCAGAAAGGGTGAAGCTGACATGAAGGTACTGTGAGAGGCCTTTAACCCCTGCTGATTGCACAGCCAAGCTATTCTTTCCCAAAATTTATTTTTATCAGCTGCCTGACTTTCTGTTTTTATGCTTTGATTATTAAATTTTATTATTGGTGACTTTGGTTTTGTGTCCTCATTGCCTCTGTTGTGCACTGAATCAGATGGAGGAGCAGGTGGAGACAAAGCTAGTCTCACCGCCAGGTTAGTATGCATTCAGTCAGCGTCAAGACCTTTTTAAGTTTGCTTGCTGTTCTTGCTTACGTCGCCCCTTGGCTGTACGCCTTGCTGCTGTAAAAATGCAAAAGGGCATGTCTGGTTTCATTTTTCTTAATAGCAAATCTGAAGCATGTGCAAAAAAAAAAAAAAAAGCTTAATTTCCCTGAGTTTGTTTGAAACCTCAACGTCTGATGCTTTGGCTTTGGTTCTTCAGAGGGATGAGTGAAAAAGAATGCAAAAATAAAAAAGGACATCTTTTAAATCCCCGCTCCAATTTTATTATTTTTTGGGTTTTTTTGACAGAAATGTTTTTTGCATGCAGACTGCAGATTTCATTCAGCAAAATTAATTAATCATGCACAGTTATCTGGCAAAAAAAAAAAAAAAAACAGAATTGTTACACCATAAAAGAATTGACCAATTAGATTATCCAGCCTTACGGAACAAGTATCACAGCACAACTCAACAAAGTTTACTGAGCTAAACTCTCTTGGCAGATATTTTTAAGCCAAAAAATGGTTTACAGCTTAACTTCTTAAAGTAGGATTCAACTGAATGTTCAGTTCTTACACTGAAGTTTCAGTTTACATGTTAGAGACTAGAAAAGGGGTTGGTCACATTCTTGATCTATAAATCCACAACAGCCTTTAAGTTTAGTGACAGGTGCAGTTAAAACTTGCAGCTGTTCAAACCCTTTACATTCAAGCTCCCAACACCATGTGTTCAGTGGTTTAATGAACCGATTCACAAAAACATAGAATGTGTGAATATTCTGTGTAATCTCAATAGTAAATATATGAATCAGCAAATCTAGAACTTGATTCCTGCTGTAGATCCAGGTTTCAGCTTTAGGGATAAACAGAACAGAACAAAGCATAGGCACTTTTTTCTGATAAACACCACTACTGCAGGTCACCTTGCAAACAAGCGTTGCCAAAATATCTTTTTAGTACAACTGTAGTCAGTCTGAAAGCATTTGATTCAGTTTGTTATGAGTTTAATGTGTGACTTAACATAAATCATTATTAATAATTTGGGAGCAGATCAGTCCTTTAATTTAATAAATGCCACCGGTAACTAACTTGACAGTAAATATGTTTGATCATTGAAATAAAAGCAAAGAATGATTTAGTGAGAAAATAAAATTATTAAGATTTTGTGAGAAAAGGCACCAGACATTATAGTTTTAGTTTAATTAAACTCTGAATCCTGCAGGTGAAGGGATGGTATCAAAACAGCTTTGCTGCATTTTTATTGTCGACTTGTCTGTTTTATGCAACTAATGAAGCTATAATGAAAGTAGTCTCTGTGATCAAGGTTTGTGCTTTAACTTAGTATTGTTCTTTGTGCAGCACCTTAAAACCTGCTACACTGGCTTAAGGTAGTAAGTTGTGTTAGTTGCATTTCATTAACCAACTGCTTATTAAAAAAATAAAAAATACAGAGGATCCAAAAAATGTACATACCTTTGATAAAATGATAGATTTGTGCTTTAAGAAAAAAAAAAAAGGCCATAACAAAATTTGTCAAGTACTTTTTTAAACATCTGTAATGTGACATTTGTTGTAAATATGCCAAACTCGATTAACAACTTTTCGGAAGGCAAATATAAAAAAAGTAATACAGTAGTAATAACCAGGTTTTTATGTGTCCTCACATAGTTTAATTAATACAGAGAACCAAAATATAAATAAAACTGCAGTAATTTATGGCGAATTTGATTTATCAGACATGCATTGGACTAAGTTGATCGTGTGGACATTTGCTCAGATGAAAACCTCAAAGCCATAGCCTTTAAATAGTTTAAAAAATATCAATAAAATCTTGTTAGAAAATGTATTGTTAGCAGTTTTGACAACTTTATTTGTTTTAAATGTGCTGTAGATAAAATAGACAGTGGTAAAACAACACCATACAGACTAGCAGCATCATGCTCATTTTTTTAAATTTATTTATTTATTTTTTTTACTTCTATATGAGCTGTAGTGTGACGTTTGTTGTAAATATGCCTAACTCTAAAAACACTGTTTGGGAACGCAAATATAAAAAGTAATACAGTAGTAATAACCAGGTTTTCATATGTCCTTAAATAGTTTAATTAATACAGAGGAGCATCTTTAAAAAAAAAAAAAAAAAAGTTAAAAAACATCTGCGGTAATTTTCTGGCGAATTTGATTTATCAGACACGCATTGAACTTGTCATGATGGGTTCAGGGAGTTGATTGTGTGGACATTCGCTCAGCTGAAACCTTCAAAGCCATATAGTCTGTAAACAGTTTACAAAATATCAATAAAATCTTGTTAGAAAATGTATTGTTAGCAGTTTTGACAACTTTATTGTTTTAAATTTGCTGTAGATAAAATAGACAGTGGTAAAACAACACCATACAAAGTAGCAGCATCCTGCTCATTTTTATTTAATTTTTTTACTTCTATATGAGCTATCAATATTAACACAAAGAAACTGAAGAGCATGTTTGTTTTTTTTTGTTTTTTTAAAACGACTAAATCTGATAGAAAATAAGTAGCGTGCTGCGTGTGTCCTTATAGAGATTTGGGGAGCCTTCTTTTAGCAGAAATGAAAAATTTTGCCTAATTAAAAATTGGGATGGAGTTGGACTCCTGTAGAAAAACACTAAATGTCTTAACTGAAGCTAAATATGTTCAACCAATGTATTAGATACTGTAAAGGATAGGCACAACTATACTTTGAGAAAAGTTTTTCAGTTGAAATGTGACATACCACATGGCTTTTTGAATATGTTGTGCAAACCTGTGAGATCTGCTGCAGGTCAATTCATCTAATAAAACATATTTACACGCCTTTGATTTTAATATAGCTCACAGTTAAGATAAGCTACTTGCCTGATAACTGTGCATGTAGTGTCCAGAACGTGATTCCCTGTGGTGAAGAAGTAGCAGTGAAGGACTTTTTTTTTCTTTTCTTGTTGCTGATTGGACATTCCTCACAGCAGAGCTGTATCATGGGAGCTGACTGCAACCCCGGGCTGCTCTTGTGAATGTCCTTGAACCATTTTAGCAGAACTGTGCAAGGGAACTGCTCTGCAGTTTGCAACAAGACGCTATTCAGTTATTTCGTTTCCCATGACAAAGGCTGCTCTTGATCCTGCTTTTGGTCACCTTTGTAGATCAAACAGATTTCCGGTGACATTTCAAGTCCACTGTAATGTTTTTGTATATTTTTCACAGGGGATGTAATTACCAAAGCTCGTGTCATCAAGCACCAAAGCAAAAAGGTTGAGTTTCAGGTAGCAGAGCAAAAAACAGAGCAGATTCAGACAAAGGAAAGTGTTTTCCTTAAGAAAGAAACAGCAGCAGCACAGGCGGACAGTGAGAAGGGTAAACAAGTTCAAAACAACAGTCATCTGGTCACACAGACACACGGTGTTTCTGAAAAGAGACCTGAGAAAAAACAAACCAGTAAAGAGAACGGCGGCAGTCAACTCAACAGAGAGGTAAACACCAGTTCATTCAAGCAGCAGGGAAGAGAGACGGACCTGAATCTGAACAAGCAGCACAAAACTAATGTCAAAATCTCCACACAAACCTACAAAGAGTTGACTGAGTCAACAGGAGACGTCAAAGTAATGGAAAGACAGGGGAGGGTGATGAATGGAGCGGTGAAGGGGGAAGAAAGTGCCTTAACAATTCCTAAAGGAGGCACACAGCAAAGCAGTGTGTCTGTCTCAGCTGAGGGAAAGGTGAAAAAGGGGCCAGATGATGGAGGTGGTAGACCCTCTGTGACAGTGGTACCAGTTGCACGTTTACCCCCACCAGTCATCAAGCTGGAGCCATTAGATGTGAAACAAGCAGGATCCGGTGATGAGGTGCAATCCATGGATGTTAGGTAAGTCCTCACATAGGGTGCCTTGTTGAACTTCTTTCACATTTTTCGCTTTAGAACTACAAGCTTAAATACATTTTGTTTTTATAGAACAGCTCAAACTAGCTTTACACATAAGCTTTAGCTCAATGTCTAGCTTTAGCTCAACCCATCTCCTCATTTTTCAACGATTTCCTTGTTGAAAAAAAGCATCCCCACATCATGACGGTGCCACCACTGTGTGTCACCTTGCAAATGTGATGTTCAGGGTGATGCACAGTGTTACATCTTACATTCATATCAATACTGGTCAGATGTTATAGAAGTCCACCTTCCACAAGTGTCTTGTCTCCTATTGGTTTTGGCCAAACAACAAATTCATCTTGTGCTTTTCTTTCAAACATGTCTGTTTTCTGGTAATTCTTCCACAAAACCACAGATTTTTCAAGAAAATAGATTCTTCCACCGAGGCTAATAACATCTGCAGCTGCTCCAAAGCAGGACTCTTAGTTGTTCCTCTCATTATTGTTCTCCTTGCCTGTAAAATCAATTTAGACCAGGTCTTTGAAGGCTCTAAGTTGGGTTTGAACAGTGCTGAGTGAGATGCTTAAAACTTTGAATATTTAGGAGGCTAATGTTTTCTCACTCTGTGTTTCAGTCCAGCTTCAAAGGAAGAGCTGATATCTATTCCTGAGTACTCACCAGATAAAGATATTCACCAGAGTTTTATGACCCACAACCAGGCTCTTAAGGACCTGATGGACCTGACAGGGAGCGTAACGCACGCAAAGCTTCCCTCAGAGACCACGATGGGCGACTGCAACAAGAACCTGATACGGGGGGTTGTCAGTCCGTTGTCAGACTCGAAGCTCATAGGGGTTACACCCCCATCATCAAACAAACTAAACGTCTAGAAGCCTGATTGTCTTTTTTCTCCTCTCCTCCTGCTAGTTGCCTCTATCCTCCCTGACTTTGTAACCTATTCTAGTTATAGGAACCGAGCCATAAAGACTGACTGAAAATGCACACTATAAACTAATAATGGAGCTTGTGAATGAGTTATTTTGGTATTGGTCTGAGGGCGGGAAGCTCAGTAAAAAGAAATCTATACATATGAAAAGGTAGAAAACAACCAAAACCATTGAGATATCAGGTTTCAGAATATAACAACGTTTACGTTCCTGCATCAGCTTGTTAAGAATTGCGGAAAAAAAAAAGATCCTTAAACTTTTGTGAAATATTAAAGCAGTATTTCCACCAGCTTTCTTATTATTTAAATTGAATTCTCTAAGTTGGTGGGAAACGTGCTTCTGTGTGAACTTCTGTTATTAATGCATGAATTAATGACTCTGTAAAAAAAAAAAAATCCACTCAAACTGAAAGAACCAGTTCCCCTCCCTATAGAATCTAATCTTGGGTCTGTTCACCATTTGAAACTATTCCCTATTTGATGGGATTTGATAGGTGCATGTCACAGAGAAAGATGATGGATTTTAAAACACATGGTGCATCACAATCGGTCACATTTATTTCAAGGTGAAAGGGGTTCATTTACAGGTGGTAGGATACAATAATCAGACCAGACAGCCTTTAATTTTGTCTAGAAAAGTCTAGAAAAGTATTGAAACATTCTAACAGCTGAGCATCTCATATGGCTTTTTCAAAGTTTTCTGTAGCAGCAGCTTACTTCATCAGACAAGGTTTCTGTAAATATATCATCCAGAAATGAAATGGACTGTTTATTTAAAAAGAAATGCGGCATGGATTTTGGTTTGAAGATCAATGTATAAATGTGACCTATAGCTTCAAACTCACACTTCCTAGCGCTAGAACAGTGGATTAGATGAAAAACTGCTTTAGCAAATCAGAAAAGGATGTGCAATTTCACTAAGAATTTTCCATGTTTGTAGGTCAAATGTTAGGAAAACATGCCTTAACAAGAGTGACTGGTTGTTTTTTTCCTCCTTTTCTTTGAATGTTTTTTGTAAGAATAGTATATATGTAACGTAATATTGGGCTTTGCAGGCTTTTAGATCATTTGAACAGCGTGCACACTGTAGCAAACATTGTAACCTGACATTAACCAGCTAAAAACATATAAAGCATAATCATTGCATTTGCATTTTTTGCACATTTAAGGATTGTTTTGTAAAGTAAGCATTATAGCTTATATCTAGAATATGAATGTAAGAAAATATTTTTCAAAATACGTTTAGCTCTGCTCATACCGTAACACAACTCTTCACAGTTAAAATACATTATGCATACAGAGACCTTGTTCCTGCATGGTAAGCATGGTGATCATTATGTAATTTAATAAGAACATAAATAAAGAAACAGTAACAAAATATTTAATGTCTTTCTGTGTGTTTCAATGTGAACTTTTAATCAAGCAGGTACCCTACAGAAAATGTCATCACATTTAAAAGATGATCAGTTTATTATGCTTATCCAAGGTCATCTTAAGAAATAAAAATTCAAGGCGCTTGTTGCATATTTATATATATATATATATATATATATATATATATATATATATATATATATATATATATATATATATATATATATGTGATAATTTGATTTATTACAAGTGAAACTGAATGGATCCTTATTCCAAAATCTGCAAGCATTAAAATAATTTCACATTGCATTAGTAATTCATGATCTCTCTGATTTTGTTTTATTAAATCATTGGAATAAATGGAGAATTCAGCAAAAATTAAATTATGCGGAGTTAAATATAAAAACAAGCCAAAACAGCATACAAACATAAGATATTTTATTCTCATCGTGCATATAAGACAAAATAGGAGCTTGTCTCGTTATGGCAAATCTTCGGTTGAGTATAAATACCTCTTTTAATCCTTTAACACTCTGGTTTGAGCACTGCAGTTGTTTAGACCTAATATTTTTATTTTTTTTTAGCATAACCCTGCCTTAAGACTTAACTTTATCCTTGTATTTCTGGTGTGTTGCTCTGTTTTTCATATGCTCTTTGTTCAACATGTTTACTAAAAAATCCCAGAGGCCATCACAAAACAGATATGCTGAGATTATTGCACTATGTTTACTATTAGGTTATATTCTGAAGTTTATTTGTTGCTGAATAAACAGGTGAACGTCTATTAAACTGATTCATTTCTGTATGTAAACATGTTCCTTATCAGAAGTGCCAATGTATTATTTATCAGAAAAATGTAGAATTTAAGAAGAATTTGCTCCTCGATTTTCTTTATTAGGAAATCCCCCTTCTATTTTTCATTTTTGTCTTTCATTTAAAAAAGATTAATGATTGATCCGTTGTTTATTTCTTTGTAACATCACTTGTATTGGTTTATTAAGGGAACTCCCTGTAAAGTATGTGTAAACCTTGTGGTTATTATAAACAGTGCGTAATTGGGTTTTATTTTCCTTAATCAAGAAGTAAATACGTTTATATTTTTTTATTTTTGTGATAATTAAAATAAAGAAAGAATGTATTGCGACACTGGCATTAAGACGCAAATTCAAAAGCAAAAGAATCTACAAACAGGAGTGAAATCGATATTGGAGTTGCAATAGTAAACCAGAAATTAAGAGCATAATCAGGAAGAAAATTAATTACAAATGGCAAAAACTGTATGAAGATAATATTAGAGGAAGATGGTTCTATAGAATACAAGCGAAGGCTGGAGAAATCAGATGAAAAAGTGGAAGTAACAGAGTTCAGGAAATGATAATAACTAGATTAAGATTGGGGCATACAGGACTTAACTCAACGTTACTTATAATGGGAAAACAGGAAGATGTGATTACTGTGGGGAAAATGAGACAATAGAACATGTAATATATAAGTGTAGGAAATATTACAAGGACTGGAATTGATTAGGTATCTTAAACAGGAAAAGGTACATTTAAACATTATAAATATCTTTAAAATTATTCTTTTAACATGAGTTATAAGCTTTTGTTTCGATATTTGTGGATCACTGGTTTGGGAAGAAGAATTTAGTAATGGTGTTTTCGTCCACACTCCTTACTTGTTGGTGGCGGTAATGCACCTAAATGTTGTTTGCCAACCGCCATTAAAAATCAATAGAAGAAGAAAAAGACGCAAATTCCCTCCTAGGCGTTGGTGGCGCTGTCCAGCTTATTGTCCAACCACTTAAAATGCAGAGCTAAATCTTATGCTATTTGCGTCGCACGTAGCTCTCGTTAGGTATCGGTTTGCAGTTGGTAAGTTGCACGCATTATGCTCATTCATTGCTTGGAAATTAGGCAGTTTCTTTTAGATAAGCGTTTTTACTTCTTGTACGAATATTTCAACGACTCTCATGAACGCTGTTAGGACCGTTTCGTCGAGTGTTTGAGCAGCAACCCTCCAAGAGCTAAAATTACAGCTAGACGTCATTAGCTTTTAGCGTTACGTCGGTTTGTATAATTCGTTTTTTGATATAAAAGTAAAAATGTCGACAGTTATAGTGAGCGCAAACAAGCTGTGGTTGTTTTCCCCCCACCTAATCACCATTTTTTTTAAACAGCTGTTGAGATCTATAGCTAAATATGGAAAGTAAGACTACCGCGTCACCGTTGGCAAATCGAATCGCAGTAGCTGCCAGCATATTAAGCACATTGATTTATGGCGTATTTTTTCCCCCTTTCGATTCACGACCAGCCTTACTAAAAATTCGGAGGGAGCAGGTAGGCTAGAAAGCGGACATGCCCTGTCGTAGTTGTAAGAGCTTCGTTTGGGCCTCGACTCTTCGCTTAAACCGTGAAATGGGATACACAGCAGCAGCGTGTGGGAAGCCATTAAAAAAAACTGTCTGAAGGGGCAAAGAAAGGCAGCTTCAGGCTGGGATTAAAGGGGGGTGTAGGGAGAGATGAAAAACACCTAGGGTTTAAATGGGACGTGGTTCGTCGTTAATGTACGATGGTACGTGGTTCATAATTTAATGTACTGGGATTAATCGTGTGAAACCTTTAAAGTTCATCCATTTATGTTTCGGTTAGAAGCAATGCTAAGCAGATGATCTGTACCCTCAAACAATGCATAAACTCAGTGACGGCTTTAATGATAATAAAATGTGGTTTTCTATTGAGATTTTTTTAAGCATTCATTGTATGATTTTTATTTTTTTAGATTAAATTCATTACATTTTTAATTCTACTTTATGAACTGTGATGTTTTATTTATTTATTTTTTTAGCTAAAATGTCATGTTCATTACTTTGGCCGCACCGTACCTTCATTAACTTTCAGTATATCAGCATTACACTGTAGCTCTCCATGACCAATGTTTATTTACATCCAGTTACTATGAATGTGAATTTGTTTCAGGAAGAGAGGGGTTTCCATGTGGTAATGTGTTTTCTTTTTTGTGTGTACTGATGGATTGTGGGATACTTATCTATAATGTTGTTTTTTTCTCTTTTAATTCAATAGATGCAGAGAAAAAAAATCACTCACTGTATAATTTCTATTAAAAAAAAAATCAACATTATTTTTTTTATATATATATATATATATATATATATATATATATATATATATATAGTTTTTTGCGGCACTAGTGGCTAATTTTTTTGACAGTAGGTTGACAAGAAAAGTGGTGTGAAATGTGGCAAAGTATATTTAAGATAAATGTTTTGAGAAAATAAGACCTTGCATGGATTGTCTATATTCTTACTTACCTTTGTACAGTTAATACTTAAAGACTCCTCACAGATTGTTGGATTAGTAAAATATAAAACAAGTATTTGGAGGCTTTGTCGAATCATAGACATTTTGAGACTTATGTTACTGACAGGAATGACAAAAAATTGACACACAATTTTCTGTCTAGCTAAATATCTTACTATTCTGGGCAGAAATTTGTAATCTAATTGTAGCCAAGAACCTTTATTGTTTTTAGCTTGGAAGCATTAATTAAAGAGGCCTGACTGCTGCTCTTGAGTTACATTTGATGTGTTTTCTTTCTAGTTTCTGGATATCACAGCTCCTCTAGTACAGAAATAAGGCAAATTGACAATAATCCAAAGTTTGAGTTTTTACTTTGTTTTTGACTAAAATTATTACGTGGTTGTCAATCAAGCAAATTAAGTTAACTCGCCAAAAATTGTGCTTTTATTTATTGATTTATTATTAATTGGTTTAAAATTTTGAAAACAATACATTAACAGTATTAGTTACTAACATTCAGTACTGTAATGTATTTAAACATTCAATAATGTTCAGTTTATATTTTCTTACACATTTATAGCTTGTGGTGAGCTGAATACTCAGGATAGACAAAAGAAGATTGGGAGCGATATAAAAAAATAAAATAAAATTAGATGATTACCAATTCATCGATTGATGGTACAAACAACATTATGAATGTGATCCTTTTTTGCGCTTTGTCTAATGTTGCTATTAGCTCTATGATTGTTCATTATTGTTATTCAAAAAATGTTTTTTTTTCCCCCCCATTCAGTACACAGGTTATACGCTCTCTTTCAAAGATGGTTCGGACGAATTACGGACCATCACGCATTAAGCCCAGGTAACATCCTACAAATGTATTATTTTTCTTTGGTTTTTTTTTTTTTTTTTTACGAATCATCAATATTTATCTTAGATGCATGAGAATAAAGTTTTATTGTAAGCTAACTTTCTTTATTTGTTTTCTGTCAGACCCTATGACGATTCTCACCGACATAATGAAGGGAGTTACACCCCAAACTCTAAAAGTCGAAGAGATGACCAGGAATACTCTAACAAAGTATCTCCTAGCTGGAGAGAATCCAGAGGTAGAGGACGAGGGCGGCCAGCACCGGCTGGCAGAAGAACGCCTGACATGGCGTCTCATCGGGAGCCACGGTTTAATCACTGGAGGTCACACAGTCAGGATTCCTTCCAATCCCACTCTTCAAAAATGGACCAACATCACAGCCAGCGCAGGCAATCTCCATTGCGTCTCAGCCGTACCCCTCATCACCGCTCACCCCCTCACAGTCCTGCACACATACACCAGAGTCAAAGGGGTCCACCTTTTCATGGCCACTCCTCAGGTCCCAGGTCATCTTCTCCCAGACATTTTCGTAGCCACCCAGCTGACAGGAGACCAGGCGCTGCGCCTGCTTACCGGGGATCTTTTAGGGGTCCCAGAAGGCAGTCAGGTTTTCCTCCTCCAGATCACCGCAGTCGAGACCCTCATCCAAGAGAAAGAGGTTATGAACAGTCAGGTCATGGCATGAAGCGCTGGAATGAACCTGCATCGTTCTCTCATCCCCACAATGGAGAGCATCGTCCCTCTGGGCCACACAGGAGCCTCAGAGATGTGCCAGGAAGAGGCCCATGTACAGAGAGGTACAAGCATGAAGCACCACCCCAAGCTGGGTAAAAGTATAACAGGAGGAGGCTTGAAGTTGGCCACTTCTCCAAGTCACAGAAGTTGTAATGATGAGCTTTGCCCAGTTCCTGCTATTGATTAATTACATGGGGTTAAATTGGGTCTGATGTGGATGGGATTAAATGGAGCATTACTTCTGTGATTGGTCTCTGAAAGTGTACCCCCTCCTACCGTTTGATTCTGTCATGGCTTCTGAGAGGCCTACTGTAAAGATAAAAGTTAAACCTTCCGCATCCCACTTACAATGGCAATGGATCTGTCATTATAATGATTTTTCTATTGTTTGATGGATATGCAGGTGGTCATCCGAACAAGATTCCAGGAGACAGCGTGGTCCTGTGGAGAGGCAAGGCAGCAGATCCCACAGTCGAGAGAGGGCACAAAATGCCCCTCGCCCACCCCCTTACAGAGCTCCCTCATGGAAAGGAGGCCCTCCACCACCATCCTCATCACCCCACTACAAGAGCCTTCCAGAGAGGAACGATTTAGGACCCCGCAAGAGGAGAATATCAAATATTGGCGTGCCCTCTTCAGGCCCCGAGCCTTATTATGGGAAGTATCCCAGGAGAGAGAGACCTCAGCTGATGAGTATCCCCAGGCTGTTTGGTAGGCCCCCATTTTCTTTTAGGGGTAGAGGCTACCACACCAGGGGCCGACCATTTAGAGCAACATCTCTCATGAGGCTGAGAATTCCTCCAACTATGAGACCAAGGCCTCGTTTTGGTGAAATTGCCACACGGGGACATGCCAGCTCCATTCTTGCCATCAGGAAGAGACGTTTCCAGATGAAGGTGGATTCTCCGCCCAAAGAGGAACAACGAAAGCCAAGACCTGAACAATCGCCAACCAGAGAGGACGACAGTGCCAGCAAATCTTCAAGAGACTCTGACACAGACAAAGAACAGGTGGAGTCTCGTCGGTCGTTGAGCAAACACAGGTATGGTATTCTCCTTGTAGCACTGTTCGCAGGGGCTTGATGATGATGATGATGATGATGATTTAAGAGGTCAAGAATATGTGAAAAAGGGTGCCAGCAGTGGAAGGAGATGTCATGAGCTATATGTGCACCAGGCGATGAATATGATGCGAAGCCACCATTATTCTGAAATGCTGCCCTAAACTACGTGCTACATTTGTCAAAAAATACCTACCTCTCAAGTTTGGATGAAAAAAATCTTCAGTAACAAGCTACATTGTTAAAGCTGGCCTGCCAGTCCTGCAAATGTGATAAGGAGAAGGGTTTAATCCTCTCTGAGCCTAAAGCTGAAAAGGCCTCCGTGCATGCTGCGAAAAAATCTACAGTATCATTAAAGAGTCGAAACTTGCATCACATAGATGTGCTCCGTTTCCCCTTTTCATGAAGAGGACTCAGGATGACTTGACCCTGGCCTAAACCACCTCCTACAGCTTTTAATTTACTGGAAAGCAATCAACCATAAAGCTTTGAGTAGAGATACTATTTTGCCCCCATGATAACCAGCAACTCTCCATGGCCCTCTCATCAAAAACGGGCTTGCTGGAAAAAGAAATTCGTAAGGCTGAAGACCAATCTGCATTTAATACATTGAGTTGAATGGTGCTTTTTTTTTTTACCAAGAGAGCCCTTTAAAAAAATGCAAGAAAAGTTTGCAGAATGACCCTATTTGAATGTCAGTCAAGGAAGTTTGCTTTCATAATCATTAAACGATTGTGGCCATTAGAATTTATCTCCCATGTTGTTTAAACAAGCAGAAAAGCTTCTTCTTTTTTTTAAGTCCTAAATAAATTATGTAAAAGGAAAAAAATTATACACTACAATTATACAATTTTTGAATCGATAATACATCTTATTAATGGAGAAATTAAAGATATATTTAAAGAAGTGGAAATCAAAGTGAAAGGAAAATGCCCTGAAGATTCCGTTACCCAATGTCCACTCATAGTTCTCCATCATCTGATGTGTAAAAGTGTGACGTTAACGTCGGTCCCATTCAAAATACATAAAGTGAAGAGGAATAACACATATCACTGTGTGGACACCATGAATGAGGGCTCTGCCTTTTCTGGGTCACAACAATTTCATCAGGATTGTCTGCCGCCTCGCATCCCAAACATGAACCATTAAAAACTGGATAATTACTTGGCAAATATCGTCCTGAGTTGATTGTTTAGAAATGAGCCATTTTCAAACGCATGGAAAAGACCACAACCAAAACTCAAAGCAATAACTAAAATCCCAAAAAGGAGGGGGATATCAGAACACCAAAAATGGAGCTCTCAAGTGGATTGTGTTATGATTTGATACCAAAGGGATCAAGCATGGGGACTGTCCCCTAAATATGTTCAGACGAACATATGAAGACGGATGGAAATCCAACCATTACCAAGTCAGGCTTAACGTATCTAAATCAGCCTGCTGCGCTGAAATGCTCCAATTCAGTTCCTGCCAGTTTAACCTAATAGAGCTTTCCAGAGGAGGAGAAAGAAGAGCCACTCCAACCATTCAGAGGAGTGCATTTATTGGATGTTAGCTTTGCAACGTCTTCAGTAAAGTGGCCAAACATTGAGAATCAGATGAGTAAGAAAATAAGATTTCTCACGCCCCTTAAACTGCAGATGTCTTCAGCTAAACGGCACGCATCTTTTAAGACCCCTGGAATAAAATCTATTACCAGAGAAAGCTTGTGAAATCAACGATTGGCTGCTGATGAAATCATCTGAAGTTTGGTGTCCAAACACCCACCATGTTTAAAAATAAAAGGAAGAGGATTTGATACAAAGCAGTCCAGTGTCTTAAAGTCCCACCAGGATTTGGCTGCTCTAACAATTGATGAATAAATGGAGACAACTCAGATTGGTTCAGGTTACAAAATAGGAGTAAAGAAGCATGGACATTCCAGGGTTTTTGTAAGTACCCAAGTAATGTGTGGCTTTCTATTCTTTTCTAATTAATTGTGCATAACATCTAAAAGCTGGCAGGGTAATACATTTTCCTTTTTACCCACTTAATCTGTTGAAGTAATAATATTGGAACCTGTGCTTTTAATGGAAATAATTGTCTAAATTAAAGCGGCACGGTTGTTGGTCCCTCCTCAGATCTTCTCCCATAGAGAAACGTGATCTCGTCGTTTTGTCTCACTGGCCTCCGGGACCAAGTTCGTCCAAAGACGGCTCACCTCCAAAAGCTTCCAGTCCGAAGTCCAAAACCGGTACGTTAGTTCCACAAATGATCTGAAGTGTTCTAATACAATCTGGAGGATAACCAGCAGGCTTTTTCAGATCTGATCTACATGTCTTTAACTCAAACCTGAGGTTGGTGAAGTCTTAAGCTTAAAACATTGCTTTTTGTTTGTGTTTTTACTTAGACCGCAGTTCAGATGGGGAAAGCACATCGCATAGACGCCTCTCAATTGAATCCAGATCATCTGAAGAAAGAAAACGTGACTACTTGGACAAAAGAGTGTTTAGGTACCTAATGCTTCCTGTGTTGTGAAAGTATTCCAGTCCCTCCATCCTTTTCAGACTTTGTGTTGATACTACTGTAAATTTGATTGTATGATTACTGAGACTTGATTACACAGTAAAATGTAAATGATACCTGGCTTTAAAAGTTTTTCTTTTCAAGTTAAAAACTGAAGAGTAGAATGCATAGGTTTATTACAGCATTTACTCAATGTTAAACACTGTTAACTGCAACAGACTGCCTGTGGGAATCTATAATTCTTGGTGTGCACTTTAATTTTTAGTTATGTTAGGTTATAGTCATTTATTAAAGAACGTAAGATAGGAGAGGGCACCATGAAGGGAAGGGAACACGGACAATGGATCAGGAAAATTTGGAACAAAAATGGCTGAACTGCAAGCCTGTATGAACATGGCCGTCCTTCTGAACTGACAGATCGGTGATGTGCGCTTTAATCAAGACGAGCTGCAGAGGTCCAGAGTTTAGATAGAAAAATTTGTCAGTGGTCTTGTACTTTGCTAACCCAACATTTGAAAGTAATAGAAGGGTGTTATGGATGTTATTCCTATAGAAAAACGGTTAAGGAAATTTGTGAAATCCACTTAAGGATTTCTGAATATAGTATATTGACACAAAAAATCCTTTTTTTTTTTTTTTTTT